CGCACAAAGGAGAGGACTACGGGGGGTGGGGAGCGGCAGCGCGCAGGCTCGCGGGGCTGCTGTGCGGGGCGCTCCTCCACGGGCCCCGCCGCGCCGCGGGCTCCCTTTGTCCCACCGCCCTCCGGCCCTTTGTTCCCTGTCTTCTGCCCCCGCCCCGCGGCCCTTCCCGCCTCCGCGCCCAGCTGTGCTGGTGCCGTCTGCCCAGTGCCCGCCTTGCATTCGGGTCCCCCTGAAGTTTCCAACCAGCCGCAGCCCCGTCTCCATTCAGGGCCCTGCCGCCCGCTTCGGTGAAGAGCCGCCTTGCTGTGAGCGGCACAGAGGTCGATCAGCTGAAGTGCTTTGGAGCAGTCGTGTCTCCAGGTTGTAGCCCTATTGATCTAGAGCAGAGGGTCTCCGGCTGTGGTCCGCGGATCACCACCGCTCCACAGAAAGGTTGCGGAACGATCGAGAATCTCTGTACTTGAAGGACTGCTGGTGTTAAAACATGAGTTGTGTGCTTTGATTTGTAGAACAAAAAAAAGTGGTCCGCCGAGACCCTCAGCAATTTTCACGTGGTCCGTGGGGGAGGGGTTGAGAACCACTGCCCTAGAAGAAAAAGCGATCGGGACTCCTGATAGAGGTAATATCTTTTATTAGACCAACTAGATTTTTGCAAAAAAAAAAAAAAAAAAATTTAAATAAATTCTTTCGTTTGCAAGCTTTCAGGCACAAACACCCTTCTTCAGGCATCGGAGAAAAGATGGTTGGTTGAGAGTTGAAGGTGTGGTATAATTTCCTGTTTGGAACAGTTCATTTTGTATGCAGAGAAAAGTTGGAATAGTTTGTGAAATGAACTGTTCCAAACAGGAGATTATACCACACCTTCAACTCTGCTATGAAATATGAACTTTCATTTTGACCCAGGAGGACTCTTACCATCTTTTCTCCGATGCCTGAAGAAGGGTGTTTGTGCCTGAAAGGTTGCAAATTAAAGACTTTCTTTTTTTTTGCAAAAAGTCTAGTTGGTCTAATAAAAGATATCACCTCTACAGGGAGTCCTGATTGCTTTTGGAGCAGTCAGGGGTATATAGTTTGTAGCCGTGTTCGTCTAAAAAGTGGAGGCAGATAAAAATCTTGGGCTAAAGGTGATATCTTTTATTGGACCAAATAAACTAGCAAAAAAAAAAAATTCTTTCTTTGCAGGGTTTTGGGCCCAGATACCCTTTGTCAGGCAGAGGAGAGTTCAACGATGGTAAAAGTTCTCCCAGGTAGAAAAAGAAAACTTCATGTTGTACAGGGGAGGTAAAGGATGGTGTGGTTCTCCTGGCTTTCAAAGTGCATTTGTGAAAAAGCTTGGAGCAGTCGCATTCAGTTTGGGCAGCAGGTCTGTGGGTTGTGGTCACACCTAAATGGAGCAGGAGCTGGGTTGTGGGATCAAGAGATAATCGTGCCTAGAGCAGCCTAACTTTGAGCCATATAAGGAGTGCTTTAAGTCACTTGGGCTAAGTAAAGACAGTCAAAAAGCCTAAGGCTGAAGTGATTCAATCTTTGCAAGTTAGTTTAAAGTGTGTAGTCTAAATGAAGAAGCAAGGGAACAGACATTCACTTTTGATTCCAGAAATGGCAGCCACATGCCTGCAGTGGTTCAGGCTAGAAGCTGGGGGACATTAGAGCACACCTCCTGTCTCCATTGAAGCAGAGAACTTGGACAGGGCTAGCTCTCCCACTCTGTGAGGCGGGGTTTACAGGGGAGGTACAAAGCATCCTGGGATGATGGAGGACTGTCAGTTAACTTGAATCTGGAGGGGATCTAGGACAAGTTAAATAAAACTGATTTAGGTTAAATTGGTTTAAGTCTGATACTACATCTGATGCAGAATACCATCTCTGTCTCTCCACAAACTCTGCTAACTGACAGTTTGGTTACCATGGTCACTACAAAGGGCAGACTCCTCTGCCCCATCTCTTCATGTAACCCTGAATTGTAACCTGAGCTGGATACATTCCTGAGAGAGGGGGGCAACCTGCTCCCTCTGCCTACATGCCAGGCATCACATACCTGGGGGTGGGAGGGGCTTAAGCTCCCTATTGTTCTAAGCAATGCCAACCTGACTGAGAGGGGGCTAAAGACCCTGCCAGTCTACCTGGCAACCAGTGATGCATTTCAAATTGGTTGGCTGGCACCCAACAGTTGCTGGCCTTTATTGGATCAGGTAAATGAGGTTATAAGGTATATATAAGTTAAGGACTACCCAGGAGGAGGGGCAGGAGCCATGATAAAAACTCAAAGAGAGAAGCTGGACCATCAGAAACTCATGATCAATGTACTGCCTGCCTCCAGTTCATTGGATTGTACTCATGAGTAAGTACCTGAGATCATGAGTACATGAATTAGTAACTCAGCTTCATAATCAAAGGCTACCATGCCACTTTGCTGGAAGGGATTTCTCTGATATTGTTCTACCCTGTACCCTATTCCAAACCTACCCCTCGTAACCAATAAAGTTCTCCTTTGTACCTAGCGTAGAAAACTTATTGGGAGAGGGGCTAGATTATGCCTTGGGGTCCCCTTGGTTTGGCTGACTAAGGGAGAGCATCATTTTGCTTCAGACTAAAGGAAGCACCCCGAGTTCTTGCAGTGAGTCAAGCACTCTCAAGGACTACTAGGTCTGTTTTCTCAGAGGGCACAGGTTCCAGATCAGTCCAGACTCTGGGTGGTGGCAGCATTGCCCCCAGGCTAGAGGGTGTGCTCCAGGATGGGGGTTGGCCAGATGTGAGGCACCTCCAGGGAGGCACTCAGAGCCTAGAAGGTGGTCGGGCACAGTGGGGTGGGTGGCTCAGCACAGGAGCACCCCCTACTGACCCGCCACAACATCCATCCAAGTTTAGCTTAAACCAGTTTTGGCCATTTTGAAAGCTGTTTATGTGCACTGAACTTTTGTTGTATTATATATTTGAACCGGTTTCTGATTGCTTATAACAATTTATGTGCAATTCCTGTCCTGAGCATTAAAGGTATTAATGTTTGGCCAATCTGGGGGTGAAGAGCTCCAGGAGCCACCCAAAATTACCCAATTAGGATTGGAAGGGACCTCAGGAGGCCATCTAGTCTACCCCCCTGCTCCAAGCAGGACCAGCCCCAACTATATCAGTAACTGTGAGGAGAGACTGAGGTAACTGGGTTATTTAGTCTAGAGAAGAGAACACTGAGGGGAAATTTAATAGCAGCCTTCAGCTACCTGAACGGTGGTTCCAAAGAGGATGGAACTAGACGAGGGGTGGGCAACTATTTTGGCTAAAAGGCCACTTAATTAGTTGTGGTGAGCTGTCAAGGGCTGCAAGGGTAACCCTGCCCCTTGACAGGTGCCCCACCCCCAGTCACCATCTTGGGACCAGAAGTCGTCTCACCTCCTAAACCCTGACCTTTGCCACTGGAAGTCCCTCCCCTCATCCTGGAAGTCCTCAGTTCAGGAAGGGAGTTTCCACATCTTGGAACTGGGAAAAAAAACCAGATTATATATTACAAATCAAACATCCACAATTACATATTTTAATTTTATTTAAAAAAAAATTTTGTCCTGATTCCTGTTTGCATTGTGTATATAGAGGTGATTGCATAATAGCTGAAAATGAAATCTTACTCTTGTATATTGTGGGGATTTGGAGGGGTGGATGTGTATGTGTGTGTCTGGATGTGTATGTGGCGTTTTGGGGAGCGTAGGAGCATGTGTGGATGTGGGTGGGTTTGTGGGAAAGTGTGGATGTGCACAGAGTTTATGGGATGTGTGGAGAGGGGGTGGCTGAGAATGTGGGTGGATGGTTGTGGGCTGTGCGTGTGGGTGGGTATGGGGTATGTGGGGTGTGTGAAGGGGGGTGGCTGGGAATGTGTGTGTGGGGGGGACATGGGTGC